TTTTTTGATTTATTGTAGAGGTGAGGTCTTGCTGCCCAGGCGGGTCTCGAACCCACGGGCTCAGGCAATCCACTCACCTCAGCCTCCCAAAGGCGCGGAATTACAGGCTGAGCCACCGAACCCGGCAAGACCTCATTTCTACAGTAAATAATTAGCTGGGTGTGGTAGCGCGTGCCTGTGGTTCTGGCTACTTGGAAGGTTGAGGCAGAAGGATCGCCAGAGCCCGGTAGCTTGATGCTGGGTTGGCCGTGAGTGTGCCACTACACTCCAATCCAGGCAATGGAGTGAGACTTTGACTCCAAAAAAAAAGAAATTGCCAAACTCATTTTTTCCCCTCTGCAGGGCCCCACAGCAGCGCTCATCTCTTTAAGCTATCTGGTGCTATACTTGCCACCACTAGGACTAAGATGACCCCTCCTGGCACCCTCAAGGGCCACAATGGCTGAGTGTCCAAGATCACTACTACCCACAGTTCCCAAACATGATACTGTCTGCCGTTCAAGACAAGACCATCACCACGTGGAAGCTGACCAGGGATAAGATTATGTTCTGTGGTGTCACTCTCACGTTAGTGATGTGGTCATCTTCTTGGATGACCAGTTTGCCCTCTCAGGCTCCTGGGATGAAACCCTTCGCCTCTGGGATCCCACAGTTGGTACCACCACAAGTTATAGGCCATACCAAGGATGTGTTGGATATCCCCCGACAGATCGTTATCAGTTGTGGAATGAACACACTGGGAGTAGGCAATTATGCTGTCCAGCATGAGAGCCACTCAGAGTGGTATCAAGTGTCCGCTTTGAGCCCAACAGCAAGAATCCTATCAGCGTCTACTGTGGCTGGGACAAGCTGGTCAAGGTATTGAATCTGGCTAACCGCAAGCTGAAGACCAACCACACTGGCCACACAGGCTCTCTGAACACTGTGACTATCCCTCCAGATGAAGACCTCTGTGCCCGTGGAGGTAAGGAAGACTAGGCTATGATAGGTGATCTCAGGAAAGGAAAGTACCTTCATATGCTAGATGGTGGGGACATCACAGGAAAGCACAATGCCCTGTGTTCCAGCCCCAGTTGCTACAGGCTCTGTGCTGCTACAAGCCCCAGCGTCAAGATCTGGAATTTATAGGACAAGATCATCATAGATGACCTGAAGAGAGGCGTTAACAGTACTAGCAGCAAGGCTGAGCCACCCTAGTGTACCTCTCTAGCAGAGTCTGACTATACAGACAAGAAAACCTGGTGCGAGTGTGGCAGGTGACCATCTGCACCTGCCAGAAACTTATGGCACAGCTTTAGAAATAAAATAAAAACAAAAAAACAAAACAGGCTGGGCATAGTGGCACATGCTTATAATCCCAGCACTTTGGGAGGTCAAGGAAGGAGAATTGCTTGAGTCCAGGAGTTCTACACCAGCCTAGGCAATATAGCGAGACTTTGTCTCTATAAAAAATAAAAAATAAATCGATAAAGCAGCTAAGTGTGGTGGTGCATGCCTGTAGTTCCAGCTACCCGGGAGGCTGAGGTGGAAGGATTGCCTGAGTCCAGGAGGTCGAGGTTGTAGTGAGCTGTGATTGTGCCATTACATTCTAGCCTGGGTGAGAGAGTGAGATTCCAACTGAAAGAGAGAGAGAGAAAGAGAGAGGGAGGGAAGGAGAGAGGGAGGGAAAGAAACAAAGAAAGAGAGAAAGGGAAAGAAACGAAACAAAACAAAGCAAAAACCCTGGCTTTCTGACTTAAAAGAAAAATAATAGCCAAAGTCAACCTCCAGGCTCCAGGTTAGTCAAGGCTCCAGATCAGCCTTCTTCACGGCCTCCCAGTAGACCTGGTCTGTCTGGTTCCAAGTCTAACAGCATCTGGCACACAGGATATACTCAGTAAATATGAATAAGTAAACAGTCTGACACCTAAGGCAAGGTTCTTAGCTTCTGCATCTCTTTTCTCATCTATGATAGAGTCTAAGGTGTATCATGTTGACTGGATAAGCTAGGGTCCCACAGTCCTCGAATCTGATTGTAATCTCTTAAAGGCAAGGATTGTGTAATAGTTCTCTCTCTCAATTTTAGCACCAAGCTGTGTTTGTTTTTTTTTTTCTTTCTTAAATTATTTAACAAACACTTATTTTGAGTCAGGCACTCCTCTAAGAAACTTTATAAATAGTGACTTGCTTAATCATCATGAGAACCTTGTAAAATAAGTACTATTGTTATCACTGTTTTATAAACTAGGGAACAGAGGCATTGAGAACTTATGTAACTTGCCCAAAGCCACATGGCTAACTAGTGGAGTCGATTCAGACTGGATCCAGAGATAGTACTCCACACACTAGGTCTTATTATACTGCCTCACCTTATCATTGTCTGGCTGAATGATGGAGGAAAGAAGAAATGTAGAGTCTAAGTGAGGAGAAAATTGGGAGGGGAGCAATATTTACACAAAAGACATCTAAATGAGTAATATGTTTCCAGATACTTCATGCCTAGCTGATGTAACACAACTGTATGAAACATAGGGATAAAAACCTAGGTTGATTTGACTACGTAACTTAAAAGGATGTTGTTTCTTGGCTAAAAGTAAATAAATGAATGAATTAATCAATACTTCTATCAAATTGTGAATCACTTTAAGTACTTGAAAACAAACCCCATGTCCAGATGTGACTATGTACTGTACACAGTAGGAAATGATACAAACTCATAACTGGCTAAAAATTAAAAATCTAGTTATTCTGCTAGGCATTTATATGTGACTACAGGCCGGGCATGGTGGTGCATGCCTGTAGTCCCAGCTACTCAGGAGGCTGAGGTGGAAGGAGTGCCTGAGCCCAGGAGGTTGAGGCTGTGGTGAGTGTGCCACCATGTCTGGTTGATTAAAAAAAAAAAAACGTTTTTTGTGGAGACAAGGTCTTGCTATGTTGCCCAGGCTGGTCTTGAACTCCTGGGCTCAAGCAGTCCTCCCACCTTTGCCTCCCAAAGTGCTGAGATTACAGGCATGAGCCACTATACCTAGCCCAAATTTTCCCTTTTTATAAGGGCATCAGTCATATTGGATTGAGGTCCACCCTAACGAGCTCATTTTAATTTAATTACCTCTGTGAAGACCCTATCTCCAAATAAGATCACATTCTGAGATACTGGGGTTTAGGACTCCAATTTATCTTCCTTGAGTAGGGAGAATACAATTCAATCCATAATAGTAGTATAATATATGAGTAAGAGCCTGGGTCTGAATTCTAGCTCTGCCATTTAATAAATATAGTGAGACCTCACTATATCTCATTGCTTTCCCTTAAATGACAATAAGATAGATAGTCTCTTCTTCATGCTGTTGTGAGAATTAAATGAATTAGTCCATGTAATGCTTAGAATACTGGGTGGCACAATACATGTTAGGTATTAATTCATTCAACAAATAATTATTGAACATCTACTAAGTGCTAGGCACTGTTTGAGGTGCTTGAATACAGAAGTAAACAAAACAGGCAAAAATATCTACCTTCATGGAGCTCATAATCTAGTGGGGAAAGAAAGACCATTCAGCGAGATCTCATCTATACAAAAAACAAAAACAAAAAAATTAGCCGGGTGTGGTGGTGCGTGCCTTGTAGTCCCAGCTACAGGAGGCTGAGGTGGAAGGATCACTTGAACCCAGGAAGTAGAGGCTGTAATAAGCCATGAGTTTGCCACTGCACTCCATCAGGGCAACAGAGTGAGACCCCAATGCAAAAAAAAAAAAAAAAAAAAAAGTAGAACATATGGAATGTCAGACAGCAAAAAATGCTATGCAGAAAAATAAAGCAAGACAGGCTAGAGGAGACCACTGAGGGTAGCAATTTGAGATTAATTGTACTTTGAACAAAGACCTGAATAATGGAAGGAGACAGTTCAGTGATTAAGGGGAAAGAGATTTTTAGATAGAGGAAGGTTTCCGCACCCCAAAGTTACTGACTTTGGGGGCTGGATAATTCTTTGTCGTGGGGGGACTGCCCTGTGCATTGTAGAATGTTTGGCAACATCCCTGGTCTCTACCCACTAGATTCAAGTAGGATTCCCCTCCTCCCCATTCCATGTGTGACAATTTGTCTGACAACCAAAATGTCTCTAGACATTGCCACACATCCTCCAGGGAGCTGGAGGGGGCGGGATGGAGGGAGGGTGGGGCAACATGCTCATGGTTGAGAATCACTGAAATAGAAGACAAGTGAAAGTCCAGAGGCAGGAGTGGGCTTGCCTTGTTTGAGGCCCAGTGAGCAGGCAGGCAGTAAGAAAAGATACCAGAAAGGGGAGGGTGATTCCCATCACCCATGACCTCCAGGCCATTCTTTAGATAGATCAGAAGCCACTGGAAGGTTGAGAACAAAAAGACAGCACAACTTGACACATGTTTTTAAAAGATTCCACTGGCTGCCACACTGAGGATTAACTGTAGGTGAAAAGACAGAAATAGACAGCTAGCTTGTTTAATTCCTTCTCTGATTTGGTTGGGGGAGTGGTAGGGACAGCTGAGAAAGTTGAGCTAAGAAGCTCTAGGGAAGAAAAGAGGAAGGAGAATTAGCATGCAAGGAAAAAAGCTAGGAGTAGGTAAGATAATTTTTTTGTGGAAGTCCACTTGAAAGCACAGAGGGGATATGTAAGACAGAGGAAAGTCAGGGACCAGTTGTGCAGGGCCGTGAATGCTCTAGGGAATCGGAGCTCTAGTCTGTCAGTATTGCGGAGCTTTTGAGGCTTAAGCAATGACAAAATTTGGCCAACAATGTTCAGATGTGAGTAAGAAGGAGTGATTTTTTTAAAGCAGTGTCCTGAAATAACATGGGTGAGGGATAGCAAGAGCCCAGGTTGACGTGGAGGAGCATGGGCACCACATTCTGAAAGAAGAAAAGTGAGGTGCGGCCGTAAGCACCTCTTCTCCAGTGTAATCTTGTTTGTAGGGAAAAGTAGACTAATGGTCTCCACTCCGGGGGTGGGGGTGGGGCAGGGGAGGGGCTGGATACGTTTTTACCAGATGCCAAGCCGACACAAGCCCACCAAGAACAGGTTTAAGAAGTGCAGTGCTTTCTTGGAAAAGGTGCAGACCACAGAGGATGTGTAAGAGTTCGTCAGGGTTTTGTTTGCTTTGTTTTTACTTTTTGTAGAGACGTGGTCTCGCTGTGTTGCCCAGGTTGCTCTCAAACTCCTGACCAAGCTATCCTCCCACCTTGGCCTCCCAAAGAGTTGACATGACAGGCATGACAGGAGAGCCAGGGCGCCGGAGCCTCAGGGGACTTTTCAAAGTCTATTGTCTGTAGGTGAGAAAAACTATGCCGAGTTCTGGTAAAGAGGGAGAAAGCATGCCTGGATCCAGAGTTCTTTCGGGATGCTCACATATTTCCGTTTTAGACCAAAAACTCCCGGGCAGGTTTAGTACAGCAGTGTAGGCAGCAAACCAGTCTCACCAAACTGCAGGCGGGAGCGACAGGGCCGCCGGCTTTTTGCAATAGCCGGGCTTGCGAAAGGAGCCCCAGGAGACACACCCCACGCCCCCTCCCACCTCCTC